AAAAAAAAAAAAATCACACGACCTCTAAAAGCTACTATGAAGATAGAGTTTCCCATTCAATTGGTTGCTATCCAGTGCTTGGCAATTCTTTACCTTGCCTTGATCAGGATTTTCTTATTCCCCATAACATTTATTCCAGGTCTTTGCCATTCACCTCAACGCTCTGTTCCTCCTAGTCTTGCCCATCTACCGTTTGTCCCTGCCTTTCTTTCAGAAGAAGGGGGAGGAGTCCTCAGTACCAACCCCTTCATCTTCTCACATTTCTGTTCTGGTATGAGACATGGACACATCCCTTCCACATTATTTACTTATTTATTTTTATGTTTATTTATTTTTGAGAGAGAGAGAGAGAGACAGAGTGCAAGCAGGGGAGGAGCAGAGAGAGAGGGAGACGCAGAATCTGAAGCAGGCTCCAGGCTCTGAGCAGTCAGCACAGAGCCCGCGGGGCTCAAACTCATGGGCTGTGAGATCATGACCTGAGCTGAGGTTGGAGGCTTAACTGACTGAGCCACCCAGGCACCCCTCCCTTCCTTTACTTTTAAAGACTAATCACTCTACCTGTGTGCTGAAACCCATCCCCTTCGGCAGACCTAAAGACATTGTTCGTTCCATCAGTGACATCTCAACTCTGCTTTCTATACCTTTAATCTTTTTCTCACCACTGGCTCCTCTGTGTCCCAACCTACATATGCCCAAATCTATCTATCATTCATTTATTAAACCTGAATTCCCCTACTTTGTGCCAGGCATCATGCTGATAGGCACTGGAGTTACAAAGAGAGTCCCTGCTGTCAAGTACCATCTAGTGGGAAAAAACAGAGAATAATTAAAACGTATTGTTGTAAGTACCATGACAGATGTATATGTGGAGTGCTGTAGAGCACATCAAACTCAGAGTAAAGGGTTTTCCGTTACAGGGGAAACTATGACTGAATCTTGAAAGACAGAGAGGAATTAGCCAGGCTGAGATGAGAAAAAAGGACATCATCACACTTGCCTCTTCTCCTCCTTTCTCCTTCCCTGTATTGTAAAAATTGCCTAAGTTGTTTTTCAAGTAATCTGCATCAGTATTCACACATCCCCCATTTATACATTCAGGGATATCACACGTTCATTACCATATTCACTTCAATCGGCCTTCACTACTCTACTCCTACTAAGAAACCGCTTTGAAAAAAAATCTGATGACCACATTTGCCCAATATTTTCAGAGTTTGAACATTTCTGACCATTTCCACCTTTTCAAAACTCCTCTGTGTCCTTAGTATATGAGTCAGCATTCCCTTTGCTTTTTCTTTTACACTCTGAGTCATTCACTCCTTTTCAGCCTCTTTTGCTGATTTCTCCTTTTAAGAAGGTTCAGTGTTGGAGTACCTGGGTGGCTCAGTCAGTTGAGCATCCAACTCTTGATTTCAGCTCAGGTTATGATCCCAGGGCCGTGGGATCGAGCCCTGCCTCCAGCTCCAAGCTGAGTGTGGAGCCTGCTTGGGATTTACAAATAGCAACTTAACATGAATCATTGCCATAAATATAAAACCTAAAACTATAAAAGTTCTAGAAGGAAACACAGGAAAGAATCTTTGTAACTTTGGATTAGGCAAATGATTCTTAGGAAACAAGTGAATTACAAGAGAAAAAAACTAATAAATTGGACTTCATCAAAATTAAAAATTTCTTCATTGTGAAAGATATCATTAAAGAACAAGCCACAGATTGGGAAAAAATATTTACAAAACATGTATCTGATAAAGGATTTGTATCCAAAATATATAAAGAGCTTCTATAATTCAATAGTAAAAAAGAACCAATTCAACTGTTTTAATACGCAAAAGATCTAAATATCCATTTCACCAAAAATGATATAATGAGGGCAAATAAGCACATGTACTACCTTATTCATCTTTAAGGAAATTGCTTTTATTTTTTTAATATGAAATTTATTGTCAAACTGGTTTCCATACAACACCCAGTGCTCATCCCAACAGATGCCTTCCTCAATGCCCATCACCCACTTACCCCTCCTTCCCACTCCCTATCAATCCTCAGTTTATTCTCAGTTTTTAAGAGTCTCTTATGGTTTGCCTCCTTCCCTCTCTAACTTTTTTTTTCCCCTTCCCCT